TGAAGACATATTAAGTAAGTGCACATCTATTTTTACAAGTCTTAACAACCATGATAGAAACTGTCCATTGAAACTTGCAATGAATGTTACTTCTAATCATATCTCTTTTCCAATATAATCCGTTTGTGTGTGTTTATAGAAGAAAATGAATTGTGGCATGCTAGTTTAGCTGAAGGAATCATATTGTGGTCTTAATGATATCATTGTTTGTATTTTTCATAAGCAGATATGACATATCTACTGAAAAATCATAGCTTGATGCAATTACCCAAACCATCTTGGTTTGTGTAATCGTATATGAACTGTAGAATATTCGGCAACCTTGTATAGTCAGGTTGTCGGTTTGGTTTGATCTTGTGATCGTGACTGTACAATCTGGTCTTCGTAATCTCTATGTCAAGTCTGATCTAACATAAGTGCCATGCCCGACCCAAGTTTACGTATCGTGGCAAATCCTATATGTGCGCTTCTGACTGTTTGAGCATCAAGGTAACTTGAAAAATTCCCCCCAAAAAAGAGAGAAGCAAAGAGTCACCCATGTAGTCTATTAAGTAACAGTTGTTAAACTTGGAAGATAGAAAAGGGAGATCAATGTGATGCTGACACAGATTTATGTCAGGAAATCATCCTTTCAATCTAACACAAATCAGTTTTAAATATGAGAAATTTCAGTTGTGCAGCAGATACATCAAGGACTACCTCAAATTTGGTAGTTCCAAATTGAATTGATGTAGTAACCAATATGTTTGCATGATTATGTTTGAGTGTGGTTTGCACTAGATTTATCCATACTATTACAAAATAGCATTCAATATGATTAGTATTAAGTATTCTTTGAGCTTAGCTGTACCTGTTTGCTAAAAATATTTGTCCATTATGATCTTACTATTTCTCCGCAATCAGTACAAAATTTCAACTACAATATCTGAAAATATCATCTACTTTACAGATCTTGAAAATACTTCTGCTGGATCTAATGGTCATGTCTCATCATCCGTGCCTTCAAAGTCATCGGGCTCATCACTTGAAGAGATGACAGACTCACTAAAGGTTTGAGAGCTGACTGATTCACTAAAGAATTTTTTCCACCAGTTGAAAAGTAGCTATTGGCATGTCACTTAACGTCTTTGTTAGAACATAGAAGACATGAATCAAGTTAAAAGTGTTACAAAGTTGTGACATTGATGAAAAGGTTTCAGAATCAAGATACATCAACTAATATGATAGCCTTTTTAGTTCGTGGGATACACCAATTTACATCAAATGGTCTGAGAAACTTTTCAGTTCATTGGAAAGAAATATGGTTGCTAGAGTGTTTCAAATTGTGAATTTGTGTGAACTGTTTGGTGTTCTAAAAGTGTGAAGACTTGAGAATCCTCTCAAGTAGTTAGTATGTGCAATATAATCAAGACTATTGTTGGTGTAGATTTTGTGCGAGCTTCTGCAAATTAATTTGTTCGAATGGAAAATTATTTTAATCTCTTTGTTTACAAGGCATTCTTAGTTTTGTTTACTATATGCCCAGAATAGCCAATAGACTGTTCTGGTAGTCTGTGCTGTGTGGTGAGACTGCAAAATATAAATGCTGCTATAGACTTCAGTGGGGTTGCAGAAAGATGCCCACTGTACTTGGAAGACATCATTTTGTAATAACGATAGGCCAATGAACCAATGAAAACTGTGCCTTCCGGATAAGGATTTTTTCACCTGTATCACATGGCCATCTTGGTCTAACTATAACACATAACTATGCTTTTGTTAACTTGCATAACATTAAAGGCATAATACTGAGCCTCTCCCTATTTGTAAGTTGTATACAGTACATGTTGGGCTTTCCCCCATCAAGAGACAGTTCAGCGTGAATGCTGTGACCTATTTCACTTAGCTGTAGATGTAGTTTATAATTCCCAATAAAATAAAGTGACCCTGTCGGTGGGAGTGATGCATTATTATGTATAAAATAGTGTAGGTGCTTGATTTACAAGCATTACTGATATTGCAAGTTTTATCCTTTGCGTTGTAGGATGTGCCTTGGGGGGAATTCTTTAAAAGCAAGGCAGTGTGGGCAATGATATACACTCACTTTTGTGGAAGCTGGGGCCACTATACTTGCTTGTCTTGGCTTCCAACATTCTTTAGGTTTGGCACTTTGCATATTTGTCGTGTCATTTTGCACTCAATGTATCCCCTTCCGATTAACTAACTGTCTTATTTTCATGAACTGTCCCTGGTGAGTTGGACACACCTATTTATTTTACTATTCAACATTTTGGTGCTACTATTGAGATTGAATTGTTAGGATTTCGTTCACCAACTTTTCAGTGTGTTAACAACCTATATGGACAACTTGCTTGCACGTGCACACTTTTCCTACTCGTTCAGTTCAGTTTTCAGAAAGTGGATTGACTTCAACAAAGATAGAACCAAATGAAACAGGAGATTTTTACATATAAATTTTCTGAAACTTGTGTTCAATTTGAGACTGGACATTATAGATTTACGGGGCGCTGTATTGCATAGCTGCTTCCGTATCATAGTTGCATTTGTTGTGATATGTCAATTTAATAATGCTTTAGAAGTCCAGCAAAACTTTTGTGAGCGCTGTTCAGCACATTATGTTAAATATTTGTAACAATGTCCTTGCTTTTTTGTGATATATTCCTGTTCAATTCTTATGCAGTGAGGAGCTAAACTTGAACTTGACAGACGCTGCATGGGTATGTACATGCTTTCATTTCTTATAATTACAGGAACACCCTTGTAGTGAAAGCCTCATATCCCTCCTCGTTCTTACTATGTGATCATTTCGTGTCCTTGTTTTTCATTTACGACTACTGCTCCAGTCTCATGTCTTACGAAGTCCCATATTTGGTATTTGTTGTAGGTGTCAATTCTTCCTCCTTTGGGCTCGATGGTTATTACATCTATTGCAGCACCTTTTGCAGACAACTTGATATCAAGTGGAGTTGACACCACAAAGGTAAATCATTGCCTTGAAGATGAAAAAGGAATAAATAAAAACCTGCTTGCTCCGATTTTAGTTGCCCCCCTTTATTAGGTTCCTACATGGATGCTCCTAGAGTTCATTTGTAAAGGTTGGAATATTTAAAAATCATCACTGCAAATTACCATGAGATGTCCAGTTTTCTTGTGTAAATAAGGCCTTTTTACAGGATAATGAAAAAGTTGAGTCTAAGTTGATTAATTTCTTTTGTAGGTACGGAAAATATGTCAAGCAATTGCGTTCTTGTCACCTGCAGCTTTTATGATGCTTTCCTCTGTCGATCTTGGACTGCCTCCCTGGGTCGTTGTTGCTTTCCTTACAGGTGGTATATCACTCTCCAACTTCGCATTATCAGGTAATTGTTCTAAGCTTGCAGCAATTCCTTTTCCTTCCATGTTTCCAACATCCAAAACCTTAATGTTTCGGTTTACAAACAGGTCTTTATTGCACCCATCAAGATATATCTCGTGAATATGCAAGCATTCTCCTGGTAAGGCATGCAACTTATAACCGTTTTCTGGGAAAAAAGATTCTGTGTTTGTCCTGTAAAAAATGGAATGGTAAAAAGAAAACAAATTCCCTTTGTTTCGACCAGATATTTGGTTGTAATTTTGTTTGTTACTATATCAGACCCCGGACAGGGATTCGTAATTAAAACCCTTGAGATTTTACTTGATAGTAAATGCTAAACATTTTCAGAGGAATAGCCCACATCCTAGTGTTTCTAGTTTTGGTAGTTTCAGACTTTTAGTGCCTACCACTAACGAGTCTGTATAATTCATCAAACAATGGTTGTTGCTGAAGGCACTGGTGGAAAGGGGAAGCAGAGTTGGCAAGAGAAAAGGCAATTTCTTCTATGGGTAGTTGTTGACTCACTGCCTTTGCATTCCAGGGAATCACAAATACCGTAGGGGCCGTGCCTGGAATCGTTGGTGTCGCGCTAGTCGGCTATCTTGTCGACACAACTCATTCTTGGAGTGTATGCTTGCCAACACCACAAATCTGATCAATCTCCTTGACCTGTATTTTCTATCACGTATCATTCTAACAACTCATTACCGTCTTTTGTACATGTGCAGATGTCGCTCTTTGCTCCTTCAATCTTCTTCTACTTAACGGGCACTGCCGTCTGGTTGACATTCGCCAGCAGCGAGCCCCAGGATTTCAACAAGTTGGCGTCGGAGTCGTTAACAGAGAGTGATCAGTAGTCGAAGGACCATTCAGAAGGAAAATCCGTTGGGAGTTTAGCTCACCCTGCCCAGCAAATTTATGGAGCTCCTGGGCACTGGATAGACTGGTAGGAACAAGTAGACAGTGTATGTACATGCCGCATGGGCGTCCAGATACGGTAGAGATCTATGTATATTGTATAGGCCTTTTCTGCCGTGCATGTATGTTTAGTATGTTCTGGCACAATTTTGGAATGGAAGTGCCTGTCACTGTTTGTTTTCCATTGCTGGGAGCTGTGTTGTCCCATCCTGAAACACTGAGATCGCGAGAACAGAGTTCACCATTCAAACAAAAAAGGGTGAAAGAATGTCTCAAATGCTTATTCGGTTCTTCTATTAGATTGACATGCCTTTTCCTTCCAAGTTATTCTTTTTTTTTTTTTGCGAGAACCTTCCAAGTTATCCAAATCCAAACATTCAGATAGTAGTGATACAAACTCTGCAATATTCATTCACCAGAATGATAAAGAATCTGGATTTCATACAAGTTGAACCCAAAAGCCATTCAAAGCACATGTGACAACATGGAGTAACAAGAATTAGATTGAATGGTATCACAGCTCCAATAAACACAGACATCAACACCGAAATGTTAAGACTACTTGCACAACGCAGGAAACAACATTAGAAGTTCAATGTTCTACCCTATGAGACATCAAACCACCACGACACAGAAGCTACATAGGTCGGTGTGTACCAGACCCGCTCAATCATCATCTAGACAGCAGATAAACTAAGGGACTGAAACACGACAGCAGGAAAGCAGATCATTTCTTCTTCTTGGCCGGCGGCTGGTCCTCATCTTCCTCATCCTCCTCATCGTCGTCCTCGTCATCATCATCGTCGTCCTCGCCATCTTCACCATCATCATCGTCATCATCACCATCATCATCGTCGCTCCCCGCACCAGCGTCATCGCCGTTCGCCTCAGGGTCCTCGTCCTCGTCATCGTCCTCACCTTCTTCACCCGAGAAGTCCTCCCCAGCATCAGCATCATCATCATCAGCATCACCAGTTTCATCATCCTCGTCTTCATCATCATCGTCGTCGTCATCAGACCCTGCATCCTTGTTCTCAGGAACAGTCTCGGATTTGATCCTGCCAAATTGCCTTCAGCGTTGCACAAACCAGTCAGCAACAGAAAACTATACATTGCAGTGGAAGTCATATGCAGAATAGGGTAATTAATTTACTTGATAATTTCTTGCTGGTCCTCAGTGAAGATATCTGCTCCATTGTTTACAGCTTCCATCTGAACATGATTCAAGTCATGTCAGCACATGAAGATAGGTAGTAATAAGAAATAAGGTTATCATAACAATTCAATGATATAAATAAATGCATATACAAAGCTTATTCAACCATGGTCAGTAAGCAATCCCTTTGTATACAGAATAACCACAGCACTACAATTTTATTTATTATTGACATAAGAGATGACATTTAATTCTACAGTCACAGTGCAGAGATTTTCAATAAAACCAGTTTGGGCTTTTCCGTTAACATCACAAAAAACCCTGCTTAGGCTTTCCTCAACTCATTCGACAGCCATAGTACTTTCTTTTTCATTAAATTAATTCAAGGGCTTCCGTAAGAGCTAATTCCCAACAGCAAACGTAATCACGACAATTTTATTGGAACTTAATAAAACATTACCAAAAACATAACTTAGAACCTAACCGTTTTTTATAGTGGACCTATGGCCAATCACACGCAACAATTGCTAGGAAACTACTACTGTAACGGTAACCGTTATCCATTCACCCACCAAATTCTTATTCACAGCATCATTTACTGCTCTAACCAAACAGGGCACGGTAACAAACCCACGTCCCGAGTCCGAATGACACTCGGAAACAAAAAAAATGCGCTCCATGATGGGACACAGGTGGAGTCCAAGCGTCGAAAGTAGTCTTGGGTAATCATCGTGCTCTACAACTGGCAAAACCCGACAATAACAATCTTCCCTGCTTGGCAGAGTTGAGGCTTGGAATCATCAACACCTGCCCTGATGTAATGCAACAAGATATTTTCTCTGCTTGGCACAATGTACCGACCTAGCTTTGCACCTGCAACCGAACCTCCCCTGATGCAGCCACCCAGATCTGCCTATATGCCCTAGATCTACCCGCAGAAACCAACCGCGGAAACTAAACAAACACTGTTTAGCAGGACACAGAGGTCAAAATTGCCTAAGCATTACGGTCAAGAGCATACACCTCCAGATCTAGGGGCCAAACCAGCCGGATTCCTTGGGTCAAACCCTCAGGGACGCAAACCACACCATGACTTTGCCTAACGAAGGAGGAAAATTCAACTCCACCAGCGCTGGAATCACGGTCAACGAGCCAATCTGATAGCAACTCGTAACAACAAACAGAATAACGAGGGAGGCAGCACGAGCGCGCAGACACAATAACAAGGCGGAGGTAGTAAATAGTGGAGAGGGACGCCGGAGGCTCACCGCGAGAGCGAGGAGAACCAGCAGCCTCTGCGCGGCGACGGCCAGCGCGCCCGCCGCCTGGCTCCCGTGGAGCGCCGTCGTCGTCGCCACCGCCGCCATCTCTGCACGGAAACCGGCGAAGCAAACGGGTGAGGCGCGGTTTCTGGGCGCGGAAGCGGCCAAATCTGGGCTGCGGACCCGGAACCCTAGGGCGGGGGAGAGCGGGGGGAGGGGAGGGAGCAG